AACAATATTTGTGGGGGCATTAATTCTACGTACACACACACACAGAGAGAGAGAGAGAGAGAGAGAGAGGGAGGGAGGGAGGGAGGGAGGGAGGGAGGAAGGCAGGTATCCAGGCTCCCGAAGATGGCATTTACCAGTGGGCCCACAGATAGATCTCTGGATACTCTTCCTCCCTGTTTGTCTTTCTCTATCTTTAGAACAATATTTTAATTTTAAAAAATGGGAAGTTGTCATAGTGCCGGACTCCAGAATTATATTTATTTCCAAGTATATCTTTGTACAGTCCTCTGCTTTTGGGAAACTCTGCTCATCTGCCTACAAAAAGAGCAAAGGCATAGAGGTGACAGTGAATATCGTATACACAAGGAAACTAGAGAATGTGACAGACAACATATTAGTAAATTGTGCTTTAGAACAGCTCATATCTCCCATGACTGTCATTTTGTCAATGGGGAAACCACCAAAATCTATTCTCCAAGTCTACTGACATGTTCTCAAATTTCAAACGTTACCATTGGGGGCTCTTACATACATACAACAAAGTGGTTTGACATGTTTTCAGATTGGTAAACACCTTTTCTGTCTACGGTTTCTTCAAAGGTTGGTACACCAAGCCTCCAGAGATACTTTACCACATTTCAACTGACCTGCATGCTGGCTAAAGCCCTTCCAGCCTGCAGCTTATCAAAATTCTTGCTACTTGGGAACAATACTTGTGGGGGCATTAATTCTACCTCCCCCGCCCACACACATACACACAGAAGAAGGGAAGACAAGGCAGGTATCCAGGCTCCCCAAGATTTATTTCCTTACCCATTTTTTTTAAGGTGGTAAGGTTAGGTTCAGCAGCTGTATATTCGTATCTCTTCTCTCTTTTCAACAGATTTTCAGATTCTTTTTTGCATAAGTTAAGCACCTGAAACTTCTCCTTATGAATCTTATCTCTACCACTCCGTTTGATCTTAATTCTAACAGCAACATGTTTTAAATATTAAATTATTGGATAGTACTTTTAGGATATATGGGGTGGAGTGGTAGAAACATATGCTGCAGTGTAGTCTTCTCTACTCAACTCTTCTGATGTCAACTCTATGGGAAAATATACATTCAGCTGACTGAATTTTCTACATTGTGTAATTAGGATTTCTTCTATAGTGAGGAGTCCTGAGCACCATAAATCACCTTCAATTGAATGATGTCCATTGTCCAACACAAATTAGAGAGCCAGAATGTTCTTCCATTCCAGGCTGCAAATCTAGTAGACTAGCCAGGTTTTGCTATTGTATTGTGTATGAATTGTCCTAGGTAGTTTTTCCTTTTCCTCTATAACTAATTACAACATTGTAAATGGTACCTGGATGCTTTTTGTACTATCAATCTGTGTATGATCTGTCTCTTACTATTGTCCACTCCCATCCCCTTGTGATATTTTGTGTACTTTATATGACAAAGGAGGGTCAAATATTTACGTGGAATAATAATGGGATTGCAAGCGCTTTCCAATTTTCAGCCTTTGTAAATTGCTTTCTTTTACTTAAATATCTGGAATACTTGTAACTTTCATTAAGCAAGGAAATGAATTGCACACAAGTAGAGAAGGTGTCAGGTTTTGTCTGTGTAAAAGGGTTTTGCATTGGAGGAGCAGAAAATAATCTCTTGTCACTTAGGTGCCCATTCACACATGATGAGTAGCAGAAAAGAAGCAAACAAGCAGCAGCCTCTGAACCTCCTGTAAGAGTTAATTAGAATTTGCGTATTCTGTTATTATAAATAAAGGATAATGGTGGGAAATCTCAAAGCCATTTGGAAGGAGAATAGTAATTTCTACCAAATTCCTCAAAGAGGTTTTAGGGTTCCTTAAGCTGCATCTCTTATCTAGGCTACCCATGTGACCTATTTTAGAGAGGACAGTTGTCTATTTCAAGCCATTTTTCATATCAAGGACTGATTAAATAAATAAATAACTTTATTGTCATTGTACGTGTATACACAGTATACCCATACAACGAAATTCACTTAACACCCAAAGACCAGGTCCAACACACATAACAATCCCCAAACACACTCCCACCCACCACAATTCTCCACCCCTAAACCACCCAAACATCCACACAACAGACCAAGCTGTCCAACAGCTCACTGATGGTTGGGTGCATTGTTGAGTGCAATTATAGCTCTGGGATAAAAACTATTCAGAAAACGTGTGGTCCGAGTTTTAATTGTTCTGTATCTTCTGCCAGAAGGCAACAGTCCAAAAAGATTGTAAGCAGGATGGGAAGAGTCTCTGAGAATGTTATGCAACTTTCTCAAACAGCGAGATTCGAAGATGTCGTCCAGGGCTGGTAGCTGGATCTAATGATATTCTGGGCAGTTTTAATGATTCTCTGTAGAGCTTTTTTGTCCGCTACAGAGCTGCTTCCATACCATGCAAGAATGCCATATGTTAGGACACTGTCAATGGTGCTGCGATAGTAGGGCAGAAGTAGATGCTGAGATAGATTTATCTTCCTGAGCATTCTCAGGAAGTACAGCCTCTTCTGTGTGTTCTTCACATTAGCCCAAGTCTGGTTCAAGGATACTAAATCATCAGAAAGAAGAACCATAAGCCTTGTTGTTGTTGTCCATCAAGAGTTGTTACCCTAGTAGACTGAGTATTCTGTGTTGTTGACTAGAGTCTTCCCCACTGCAATGAGACATCTTAAATTTCCAATGTAAATTATTTTTAAGATATTACGTTTCCCTCATTCTCCCACAATATGTGTATTGAAAGATTATGCAAATCTGGGGTTTTTTCCCCCACAAATAATCCCTATTCTATTTTATGTTTTTTTCAATCTGATTCTTTTCAGCTTGTTTACTGAAGAAGGAAATGTTTTCTGGATGGAGCATTTCATGAATGAATGTTCCTCATAAGAGAAAAAACAAATGTTTATTTTTATTGAAAACTGTTACATTAGGACAGAAGCAGTGGTGGGTTGCTCCCGGTTCTGTCCGGTTCTTTAGAACTGGTAGTAAAAGTGGGGGGAGGCTCTGCCCACCCGGCCGGACATCATAATTGACAATCTGTGCATGCGGAGAAGCGCGTGCACGCACACGAGCAAAGCAAGCACACATGTGTGCTCCCGTTGCGAACCGGTAGTAAAGGTAGGTAGAACCCACCCCTGGACAGAAGATATGTTTGGTGTCTTCTTTATCAGAACAGAAAGTGTGTTTGTTTTTTCATGAGAGGAAATGTTTGTTGTTTGGGGGAAAAAAATTACATAGATCTACCACCGTTTCTTATTTATTTATTTAATTTATATACCACAGAGCTCACTCTTTTTTATATTTTAAAAATAAGAATTTTAAAGGGGACATATACTGTAAGAGATGATAGCTTAAATTACAAGGATTCAGTCCAGAGCAGAATCAAGGTTTAAGAGCTAATGTTCTGGGGAGACAAATTAGTTCTGTGAAATATAAGTCATAGAATACATACTATGTTATTGTTTATTTGTTTTGTTTTTGTTCCTTCAAGTTAGTTTTGATTCCTGACAACTGCCTGTACTACTTTCTGCAGTTTTCTTGATGAGTTTTTGAAATTGGTTTGCAACTGCCACTTTCTTAGGGCTGAGACAGCTGGCTTTGTGCCTAAGGTGGGACTAGAACTCACAGTGTCCTGTTTCTAGCCTGGTGCCCTAACCATAGTAACAACCTGGATCTCTGTAGAAGTCAGAAAACTAGATAAAACTATTATAATCTCAATCTGACATATACAAAATTCTGGACTCCACCTAGATATAAACATAATGCTAACAAGAGAACATGTCCTAAACCAGGGCTGTCAAACTCCTGGCCTGCGGGCTGGATGCGTCAAATGTTGGCCACACTCACGCCCGGTTTAGCAAAGGGGGGAAAAGTCCCGATACGTCACATGATACCACCGTGATGACGTGAGTTGGACACCCCTGCCCTAAGCAGTGAAAGGACAGATAATCATGAACATGGGTCACAACTTCAAACTGACAGGAGGGAAGTTCATACCTACTGATGATGAAGTTATTAAGAAAATTATGGAATGTGCTGAAATGAGTAAATTGACATGTGAAATTAAAGAACAGGAAGATAAACAATACTATTTGATATGGGATTTGTTTCATCAATGGCTAGATAACAAAGCATGGAGATGAAGTATGAAATATGAAATTAATGTAATGATAAAATATATGAAGTGTTCTTTTTTTTATGGGAGTTAAGCCTTTGTTAAAATAATTGCTAAATGAGAATAATAATATAAAGGGATATATAAAACTGTCAAATAAGAGAAATTGAGTAATTTGTAATTTTGGATATGGGATTATGCACAAAAGAATCTTAACCGATCGACACACTTTCTGAGATTGTATTGAATGATGATGGTTTTATGTTTTGTTTCGTTTTAAATAAAAAAAAAAATCAAAAAAAAAAACCTGACAGGAGGGAAGTTCAAAAGTAATATTAGAAAGTATTACTTCACAGAAAGAGCAGTGGAAGCTTGGAACCAACTTCCAGTGGAGGTAATGGGTCAACCATCAGCAACTGAGTTTAAACATGCTTAGGATAAATACATGTTCATCACTCAACAAAAATAAAATAAATAAAAAAATAATTTAATTAAAAAGAAAATAAAAAACAAATAAGGGGCAGCCTTGGTGGACCACTAGATTTTTTCCTGTTTTCTATGTTTCTATAATATACCAATATTTCCATAATTATATGGAATTATATAAATGAAGAACTTTGGAAAATGGCAGCTGTCTCTGATGAAAAAAGAGGAGTTCTTTGTACTAAACTACATTTTGCTAAACTTTGATTGTTACAGAGAATCCTCATTTATCTGTTGATTTTTGGGATTTTTGATGGATATTGTGATTCAGCCAGGCACCAGACTTTGCTAAAACAGGACAGCATTAAGTATTTTCAATCTCTGTTCAAAACAAGGTATCTGTTCTGACCAGAGTCACATTGACAAGGCAGGCATTGGTAAAAGTCAGTTTATTACTCACTTACACAACATCCAACAATTCACCAATGGAACTGGTAAAGCTCAACCCCACTTTCCCTGTCCATGGTCCCCCTCCATCAGAATTACCTGGTTCCACAAATTAGGGTCAAGTTGACCCACAAGACACAAGGGCAAGACACACAGCTCACAAAACCACAATCTGCAATACAGAGTCCAAGATTCCGAAAGCCAAAGCACAGTCCAAAATTCTGAAGGCAGGAAAGCAATTCCAGAGCCCACAATTAAAACCAGAGGTTCAGAGTTCAAAAGCACAGTCCAAGATTCAAGAAATAAGAGTCCACGAAAACTGGGAAGGTGCACACCAAAGCAGACAGGTGTTCCTAACAAACACACCTTCCCCCAGCATCTCCAATCACCCTTTGCCAGGTGTTTCTTGTGACTAGTGGCAGGGTTGCTTCCTCGCAAGCAACCTTGCCGATCTCCTCTGTGCCTCCGTCCACTCCAACTCCGCACCCATGGTTCAGGTGGGGGAGGCAGCTGTTCCATGTCAGAGATGGTCTGGACCTTGTCATCTCTGCTGACTCTCTGCAGCTCATATGCTCCTTCAGGTGGCTCTCTGTCCAGTCGTTTCCCCTTCCCCCCACTGTCGGAAGGACCTAGGACTGCCTTGTCCTCAGTCCCTGAACTCTTCACTTGTTCTGAGGGACCATGCCATCCCATCTGATGATCCTGATTCCAACTCCTCCTCCTCCTCCTCTGAATTGGGATCCGACAGAGCCATGACAGTATCTTCCAACTAGTTGGGCCTCACTGGTCAGAACTATGATCTAGAAACATTTGAGATAAATACAGGGCTGAGTCCTTGCTGCAATGCACACCAAATACTTGAAGTTCGAATCTGCTCTGTACCCCATTGCCAGATACAGATTGCAAGCATCCCTAAAATTTATATCATAACAAGTAAGATTACAGCAGACAGGCTTCAGATTTGCCAAATATATGAAAACGGAAGTGTTAAGCATTAAGAAGATATTTCTAATGTTAACTTTATTTATATTTTCTTGTCAATTTATGTTAAGTTTGGCAGTTATAAAATGTATAATTTCAGTTTGAAATTATAAAAAGTATAATTTGCTACATATTGGAGTTATGCTGAAGGGAATTTGCTACTTAGCCAGTCAAATAATACAACCCCAAGGGTTATATAAGTTTAGCACCATCTGGTGATACATCTCTATAATGACACTACCCACATGGTATGGATTAGAAATTGCTTCCTCCATTTCAGTCAAATGAGTACTATATTAAAATCCATAAGGTTTGTAAAATGTGGTTGTCATACAGTTTGTAACTTTGTCTAAAAACAGAAAATCAAGACATCTTAAATGTTTTCTCATATGTTCTCGAAATGTTTCTATAGATACAAAATAAAACAGTATTTAAATCACTATTTATCAATAAAATAAATTGTGGGTAACACCCTGTTTTTAAAGGGAATGTTAAATAAGTGGTCAGCACCACTGCCTCATTGAAAATAATGAAATAAAAATGCATTATTTGGCTAGATTGGGTTTTGTAACCTACAGTACATTTACGTTAGTCTGAAACTGAATGTCTGGAAAAAAAATCATCTGTAGCTATTTTCCAGCTTCCTAATTAAACACAAATTTACTTGGTACTCATGGTAATTGTTTAACAACATTCTTACAGTGCAATGATGTGAGTGCTTATTCAGAGTAAGTCCTATTGTATTCAATGGAACGAATTCCCATTAAAAATCCATTCTTTAGGACTACAGCCAAAATTCTTCATATGAAACAAAATATACACAGGTCATTTAGATCAAAGTATTCATAGTTAATTTTCCATTATGCTTCACTTGTATAAACCCCTCACAATCTCATTCATAAATCTATCTTTTTGACATGAGTCATTTGCTTATTTAAGAAAAGCAAAAACGTATAAACTTTACTATAACGGATTAGATCATGCTTAGACATTTTTCCACGGCTTATAAGCAAATGGATAATTCTGAAATGTAGTACAGCAGCTACACAAAAATGTTGGCAGATATATGTGTATCACTGATATTCTGCTTTTCTAAAAAAAAAAAGAGAGAGAAAGAGAGAGAAGTTGATACTCATTATTAGGCAGGGGAAAAGTTAAAGTTAAAGCTAAAGTTTTAAAATTTAAGTATCAATTACAGATTAATCAGATTAAAAGTTTTCCTACATAGAAAATATTGTCTAGGTTCTAAAATCTCTTCATGTGAAATGTCAATGAATATAACTCAGGGAGGCCCCTAAAACTGGAAGAACTATTGAAAAGCTTCTTCCTTCTATCCCATCAGTCGGTGACTCTAATAGAAAAGAAAGGTAACACCTTTTGTTAATTATTTTACCAAATCCATCTACGTACATGTGCAAAACAGAAGCAAATACCGTAGTTCTTAGTTGGAGGAAGCAACTGAGCCCCCAACATTTCTTATTGTGACAGCAATACACAGACAATCTGTGTATAACAAGACTTGCAAAATGAGTTGGGTTTTTACCAATCATCCATTAGAGTGTGATATAAAAGCTAAATTTAAGTTTTGCTTCCACCGCCCACCCTCCTGCATCTTCACCTTCTTTGCAATTCATAAACACAAAATTGGCATTACAAAGCTTCTTTTACTGAGTTGCATAACCTCAACCCCAGACTCAACAGAAGACTTTTATTTTTAGATGCATCGCTACAATTTTATCCATGCGTTTGTGCTGAATATTTTCAGAAAGAATGCTGTTGTATTGCCACTCTTGGACTGAACAGCTTTCGATTTATAGAGGCACAGTCCAAAGAGCAAACAATTTTGCCACAAATTAATTAATCCCATATAGTGGTTAAGGGGAAAAAAAAATCTCTCAAGGTATTTAATTAAAGCTAAGAGGATTGAGCAGTCCTTTTGCTCTTACGGTATATGTTTACCATTAGATTAGTTCTGGTTGATTGATGTACAAGACTTAGTACAGAATGTATTTGTTAAGAGTACACCAACATCTTATTTTCTTCCTGACCATTCCTACTGCAAACCCTCTTCAATAGTATCTTGATTGTCTCCTCAGTATTAGCCAACATATAGCCAAGAATTTAAAAATGCCTTATATTTAATTTGCTTCGGTGATCTAAACAGCCTAACCAACTGAAAAGCAAATTCTATTTAAAATGAGCATATTCTATATGTCTCATATTCTGGAGACATCCAGACTTGAGATGTATTAAGACTGGTAAGCTTTGTCATCCTGCACTTTAAAGGGAAATCAGGTATTTACTGTCAGTGAAAAGAGGAGCAATAGATACAAAACAGAAATTGGCAATGGGAAAAGCACATTTCATTTGCTGTCAATTCAGGTATACTTCAGCAATGGAGAAAGGCTCAAAGACTCAATAGAAAACAAGCATTTTTAAAGAAATCACAAATATTCGGAAAACATGTTTCAGAGTATATGGGGCACCAAGAGGGAGACAAAGGTAGCTCGGATATGTAAGTATCTGTAACAAGTTTTTATTCTGAAAACTGAAATGAGACTCCAGGTGTTTTAATTCCAGAATTCTCAGCTCTGGCCATGTTGACTGTGAAAGACCAGGAAATGGTAGATGGATGGATGGACCGGTTCACAAGAACCGGTAGTAAAACTGTCAGAAGGCTCCGCCCACCGCCCCGGATGTCATCATCAGAGATCTGCACATGTGCAGAAGCTTCTGCGCATGTGCAGAAACAAGGCATGCGCGCGAGCCCATTGCAAACCGGTAGTAAAGGTAAGTAGAACCCACCCCTGGTATATACCTATCATCTCCATCTCCATCTATCTTTCTCTCTCACTCCTCTCTCTCTCTCTCTCTACACACACACACACACACACACACACACACACACACACACACACACAAACTAAGAGGGGCTGGTTTGGGCTGTTTCTCCTGGCTCCATAGCAATTACTTTATCCTTGACATAAGTATGGCTTTCATAGCTCCAGTAACAGATTTCAAAAATAATGGGACTTCAAAACATTGTTGCATTGGAAGCAGTAAAACACTTTGGAGCGCAGAATTCAAAATGGAAGCTGAAGTCATCTGGGCTATTTTTCACTCTATCGTTGCTTCTCTTTAAATGCCTGCAGTAATGACTTGTTGAAAGCTTGGGCTCTGGTACATTGTTTTGAAGTTCAGCTTGTCTTCAAGGCCCTTTACCTTCAATTTCACATGTTGTAAGCCTTTCGAGTCTGGTATTAATAATAAATATTATTGCCATGCATCCTTATTTTTTGCTTAATGTAATTATGGAAAATGTAATAGTCTTATGAAAACAATATATGAGTTTTCAAACCTAATTATCATGACACAACTGCTCTCAGGTCACTAGAGCTGTTGTTTTATCTGGAACCCTTCCATGCAAATAGATAAAAACAAAACTGCATTTAATTCAGCAACTCCAGCTAAAAGTTAAATCAAAGATGACTAGTTTTGGCCTCAGGGTGCGGCCTTCCTGGTAATAAATACTTTCCTTTTGTCATGATTTTAAGGGTGGAAGGAAGGAAGAAAGAGAAAAGACAAGATATGCATGCCCTATCAAAAACTGTGTTTTTTTAAAAAAATAAAATAAAAATAAAATAAATGTCTATCTTATTCCTGACAAAAGCTTGGTTGTTTGCGCTGGGGTCTGGGGTCACTAAGGAGAAAACCATTCCAGATGTAAAGAAATTGGAATACATATATACATACATGTTTGTGTGTGTACACATATTCTTTTCTCGCCCAACACATTCCTTCCTAGGTTCTTACCTCGGTCTTAGTCTCTTGGGGGAAGAACAACTGGAAATTCAATTTTACTGATGTTTATAGAAAGCTACTAATCTAGAATCTGACTTAACATTTGTCTATCTCATTACTGATCCCACTACACCCCGCCGCAGGGAGGCGGAACCGACTAGGTGGTTCCGCCCCAGGCACCTGATGGATCCTGATAGGTTCCAAATGGAGCTTGGGCCATTCCCTGAGACTCTGGCTCATGACTCGACGGAAGACCTGGTGGCCGCCTGGGATAAGGCGGCCGCTGGTGCTTTAGATCGGGTCGTGCCTTTGCGGCCTCTGACCCGGCGCCGAATTGGCCCAGCTCCTTGGTTCTCCGAGGAGCTGAGGGAGATGAAGCGCTGGAAAAGACTCCTAGAGAGTAGTTGGAGGGCTAGTCGTTCTGGATCTGACCGAGCACTAGTGAGGTCTTATATCAAGACCTACTTAGTGGTGATAAAAGCGGCAAAGTGTAACTACTTTTCCGCTCTTATTGCGTCGGCAGATAATTGCCCAGCTGCCCTGTTTAGGGTGACCCACTCCCTTCTCCACCTGGGAGCGCGGGAAGACCCCTTGCAAGGATATGCTGAGGATTTTGTGCATTATCTGCACAATAAAATCGCTCAAATTCGGGACGGCCTGGACTCTGACTGGGTGGGTTCAGGAGAGGTGTCCGAGGCGGGTTTTGAGAATGTTATCTTGGAGGAGTTTGATCCTATGACTCCCGAGAACATGGACAGGATGCTGGGGAGGTTGAATGCAACCACATGTTTATTGGACCCGTGTCCCTCCTGGCTGGTGCTGGCTACCTGGGAGGTTACACGAGGCTGGGTCCAGAGGATTATAAACGCTTCTTTGAGTGAGGGCTTCTTACTTCCCACCTTGAAAGAGGCGGTGGTAAGGCCCCTGCTCAAGAAGCCTTCTCTGGATCTGGCTGTTTTGGCAAATTACCGTCCTGTCTCCAACCTTCGCTTTGTGGCGAAGGTTGTTGAGAGTGTGGTTGTGCGACAGCTCGCACAGTACCTGGATGAAACTGTCTATCTGGATCCATTCCAGTCCGGCTTCAGGCCTGGGTACAGCATGGAAACGGCATTGGTCGTGTTGGTTGATGATCTCTGGAGGGCTCGGGACAGGGGAGGTTCCTCTGTTCTGGTCCTATTAGATCTCTCAGCGGCTTTTGATACCATCGACCATGCTATCATGCTGTGCCGGCTGGAGGGCTTGTGAATGGGAGGCACCATCCTACGGTGGTTCTCCTCCTATCTCTCCGACCGGTCACAGTCCGTGTTGGCTGGGGGGCAGAGGTTGACCTCGAGGCACCTTGTTTGTGGGGTGCCACAAGGGTCGGTCCTCTCGTCTCTCCTGTTCAACATTTATGTGACGCCGCTGGGTGAGATCATCCGTGGATTTGGGGTGCGATGCCATCTGTACGCTGATGACACTCAGCTGTACATCTCCACCCCAGACCACCCCAACAATGCCCTTGTCCCAGTGCCTGGAGGCTGTGCGGGTCTGGATGGGGAGGAACAGGCTCCGACTCAACCCCTCCAAGACCGAGTGGCTGTGGCTGCCGGCGTCCCGATATAGCCAGCTGGTGCCATCGCTGGCTATTGGGGGTGAGTCATTGGCCCCCACAGAGAGGGCTCGTAACTTGGGTGTCCTCCTGGATACACGGCTGTCTTTAGAAGAGCATATGATGGCCGTGGCCAGGGGGGCTTTTTATCAGGTTCGCCTGATACACCAGTTGCGTCCCTTTCTGGATCGGGACTCCTTATGCACGGTCACTCATGCCCTTGTCACCTCTCGCCTGGACTACTGCAATGCTCTCTACATGGGGCTCCCCTTGAGGAGCACCTGGAGGCTCCAGCTGGTCCAGAATGCAGCTGCACGGGTAATTATGGGGGCGACATGGCGCTCCCATGTAACACCTCTCCTGCGCGAGCTGCACTGGCTCCCGGTGGTCTTCCGGGTGCGCTTCAAGGTATTGGTTCTCATCTTTAAAGCGCTCCATGGCTTAGGGCCCAGGTATTTACGAGACCACCTTCTGCCACCGATAACCTCCCACCGGCCAATCCGCTCCCATAGAGAGGGTCTCCTCAGGATGCCGTCGGTCAAGCAATGGCGACTGACGACCCCCAGGGGGAGAGCCTTCTCTGTGGGGGCACCCGCCCTCTGGAACGAGCTACCCCCAGGAATATGACTGATCCCGGACCTCCATACTTTCCACCGAGCATTGAAGACCTTCTTATCTCAGCAAGCCAGGCTGGCTTAAAATTTTAATGGGCTATTTTATGGGTAAAGGGTTTTAAAATTTGGGGAAGCCAAACTGATCTAATTCTGTTTTAATTTATTATAATTTTTATACTGTATGTATTTTAATTTTGGCTGTTCACCGCCCTGAGTCCTTCGGGAGAAGGCGGTATACAAATTTAATAAACCTAAACCTAAACCTAACCATGAAATCATAAATAAATAGTGAGTTTTACAGGATCAATTGCTTTAAGCAAAGCTACATGTTCTAAAAGACTTCCCTTATTCTGCATAGCTGTGATAGACACATTCAGTAAACATGGCTTGCTGTTTAGCAAGTTGGGTTAAGCCTAAATGTAGGGTCCATTTCTTTTTGACTTAGCATGTTGTATGAATCTGATATATGAAAGTTGGTAGGTATTTCAGCATTACATATGAATCTAGCCAACTACGACAATCAAATAATGGTTTAACAAAACACAGTCAATAAAAATTTCTGCAATGCACGAACTTGACAATCTCAATGGGAATTTGAATCTCGCAGGCTCCCCTGATACATTAAGTCAAGGTTACTATTTACCATTTGAATAACCCAGCAAATGTTTTCTAAACAACATAAATAAACAGCCATATTTTGAGAGCTGACTTCTATTTTATATGCAGACTAGCAATCTTTGAAGTACCTGGTCAATTGACATTTTCTTTTTCTTTTGAAACTGAATTAGAAGCAGCAGATGAACATGAGTTGAGGAAAAGGTTGATCTTTCCTCCAATCTCTTTGTTCATTTTTTGGTCATTCCTCCTTTTCAACCTTACTTCTCAAACATATTTAGTTAGCTGTTTGCCCAGATTCTGATAACATGCTCAGTTATCCTATAATTAGCCCTGTCGAGTAGCTTGCAAGAAACCTGGTTATAAATTGTGATTAAACACTTTTACCTTAATCCTAATTTAGTATATGGTTAGGTTAGGGTTCTCCAGGATGAATCGTTTCACACCATGAGTCAGCAAATTGTGCAAAGCCAAATATCTGTTTTTCCTCCTTGAGGCCATCTACTTTCAATTCCTTTGTGAATCCCTAGTGGAAGCTCCACACATTATAATTGAGTGCTAAGGAAATGAGAGTAAGTCTCCAAGTAATTGCCTTTTCATGTGGAAAAGTTCTCTGGATCCCAACCAACAAATGAGCAATTCAAGTCAGACATGCTATCATGTTCACTCCTACCAAGACTGGAATGCCTAGGACTGGAGGGGAACTCCAGGGCTTCTCCCACTAGCAAGTGGGAGAGAGAAAAACTCATCCTTCAGCCAGTGACCCACCCTCTAGTTTATGGCAGTTCTTGGGATAACAATAATTCCCTTGCTCTTGCTTTGTTTCACTTACCACCAAGTATCATTTGCCAGCATGAAAACAAGCCCTGTTCACTCTCTTTTAATATGTGCTGTGGTTGGACTGTGCTTGTGTAAATGAACAGGTTAAGCAAATGGTCAAGATGCCTAACCAGAGAAGTGTGGAGGTGCTCAGTGCCTATAACCCGTTGGTCAGATGGATTCTGGCCACTGCCTCCTATTCCTCTATTCAAGAGAGTGCTTAACTCAGCCGTAAAGCTAAGAGGGGCATATCCTGCCTAGGGGATGAGGGTGGATAGTGCATGATCATTGGCCTATTGATTGGAGGGAAACCTGTATGTTATGTTAAAGAAATGATAGGTGGCTGGGAGAGAAAAGAAGGCCACCAGAAGCATGTACAGGTAGGTTAATTTAAAAAAAAAGCAAGATGGTAGATGCAATAGCACAATTGATACCCCACTGCACCAGGGCTTAAATATAATTTCACAGAATTGTGGTCCCTTGAGAACAAAGAGTGCTGATATAATTTAAATCATCTACCGTAAGCAATGAAAAAATGTTCAAGAAAAGAAAATATCTAGGGTTGAAAATCATGAGTCTAAAACCCAAAAACTGGAGAAGAAAGAAATAAGAGGGTGCCTTTTTGCCTAGGGGGCAGCAGAATATGACTTAACCTAGGTCTAGGGTGCCAAAATGTCTAGAATTGGCCCTGGTGGAAAGTGAAGTTGTGCCAGATCGAAGGAGCTATGCTGGACTAGGCCCAAAGCCTGCCTAGTCCAACATTCTCTTGCTCTAGCAGCCAATCAAACTGTTTATAGGAAGCCAGCAAACATTCCAGAGGATTTCAGAAGCATATTGCTTCTGACAATGGAGGAATATATTCCCATCATGCTTAGCAGCAGTATATAGATTTACCCTCCAATAAACTGGACTAAGCCTTTCTTGAAGTCATCCATGTTAAGGTTATCACTATGTCTTATGTATACAAACTGCATAGTTTTGCTTGTAGGGGTGAAGAACTGATTGACTGATTATTTGCCATCAAATGACCATATAGATTTACTCCATGATAGTCTATCCCTAACCTGGTTTTCAGGTCTCACAATAGTGTACCCTTCACCACAGTAACTGAGTCCATCTATCTTCCTTCTCCTTTCCTCTTCTTTTTCTTTACTTCCACCTTTCCAGCATTAGAGCCTTTCCCAGAGACCTCGATCTTCACATAGATCCAAAATAGGATAATTTGAGCCTGATCGGTTGTCTCTCTAGTGAGAACTCTGGGTGGATTTGTTTGATGATCCATTGATTTCCTTTCTTGGCAGTCCATGTTGTTCTCAGGAGTCATTTCCAAAGTTTAAAATCATCAATACTCTTTCTATCCTGTTATGAAGAATGGCTTCTTTTTTCTCAGTTTTATTGAATTGAACTGCATATTATAATTATGAAATGTGCAGAAAACCTCTCTCTAGCCACTTTGTCTACATGGACTTTACTGCATAGCCTTCTGTCATGCCTCTTCTTATTCATCCATTTTAAGTAAAACCCCAAATGTGATCTTTCCTCAAAAAAGAACTGAATTAACCCTTTGATTTATGCAATTTTCACACAGTGCAGGAAAATAATTTTGATGGGTGAAACTAAAGTAAAATTCAGCATCCAAATTACATCTCTATTGCCACATGATAAACATACAAGAAGTGTTTTTAGATGGGAGATTCCTTTAACTGAATATAAAAATTCCTTGTTGTTGCAAAAAGGAATTACATGACTTTGTTTCCCAGAAGATCCATCTAGCTCTTCTAATTGACAAGGAGAAATGTGGGTCAGAATCTTCCTAAACTGAAATCTGGATTACAAGGATTCTTTCTCTCTCTCTTTAAGGGCAAGATTCTAACTTCTTTAATCACATTAGAATAATGTGGATTATCCCATGAATACAAAGATCTCCTGCTTGAATTAACCTAGTCTCTTCAAGCAGTGGGATTCTTCAACAGTTTACAGTTAGATTAACTTCTCTCCTTTCCTTCCTGATCCCCTTGTATCCTCTTTATGTGTCTATTTGACTTAGTTGACTTCGCATCTGGGGTTTAGGACAGAGTGGGGGATCATGACAATAGGTGAATTTAGCTAAAGATAAGCACCTTTAAATCCTCACTGATTTCATTGAGCACATTAATTACATGCTTGAGTCCTTACTTCTCATATATATATCACAAATTTAAGACTGCCATCCCACTATTATGGAAAACCCATACCAAACGAAATACATCATAATGTTAGTTTGTATTTGCTTAGCCATAATTTATTGAATCAATTATTAGGACATAAATAAAAATGCCTGGTTCATAAAATAGACTACTTTAAAGGTTGCTCTTGTTTGCAAAATGTTTGTTTTGAATCCAATTGGTAAAAAAAAATTCAGGATATAAGCTTTAAAAATAAGTCACTAAATAAATAGAAAGTTATTTCTCCCATGGTCCATGAGACTAGGAAATCTGTTATTAATAGTAAAGTCTATGTATCAATTTCCAATATTGGAGACCTATATGCAAGATCTGGATGACCATCAGATGGCAGTCTAGAAAGTTTTCTCAATTACTTTTGCTACTATCGAACAGCTGTAAGGATTTTTTGCAGTCCAGACCTGGCAGCCTTAATTAATCTACAAATTAGATTTGTAGATTAATTACAATCTACAAAATTGTAGGGGGGAAAATTTAGCAAAATGCAGGGCTAAAAGCTAAAAGTTAAAAATTCAAACAATCTGACAATAAGGGGGCCACTAAAACAAACCATACATGGATAAGACAAGAGAACCTGGAATTGATGGAATGTTATTACAACAGACCTAATGGGACATATGAAGGTTCTATAGATGGAAAGATCTTCTTCTTGTGCCATATCCATCATCGGATGTTGGTGATCCTATTTTTATCAACAGCCTCACAAAAAAGTGCTGTTGAATTTTGAGAAACAACTTGTTACCCAATGCTTCAATGTAGTGAATAGGAAGCTTTTTGACAACTTCAGATAGACCAGCTAATTTTACATCCCAGACTCAAAAAGATCCAGAAGAACAACTGGATATGCAACCAACACTTGGGGCTAGAGAATGGCTGCCAGCCCCTCCATTACAGAGCACAGCAACTGATATATAAGATGATGGATAAACTAGCTACAGTCACCCACAAGACCAATTACCAAGCCTCAGTGGAGAAATAACATCAGATAGTATGTCAGAAGATGCCAAATTAGCCCTTACAACAATCCCTACTATCATAACTCAAACCATTAGACTAGTATAAACTACAGCCACTGTAATCCTAGAGATGCTTGGCTACATGATCAAGAAGAACAGCAGGACATACCCACCATTGGGAAATGAGTTTGGAGGCTATGATCAAGGCAACTTGGAAAGAAGATAGTCAGCTGGTAGAATTATAGAAGGCTATGGAGATTAAGCATAAGACTCGGCTACTGGAAAATATAAGGGCCTGATGCTATCCGAGGCCGTCTGCTAAACAAAGGCTCACTGCACTGGCTACCAGGCTAAGGAGATATACTAGACAAGCATACACACACACACACAGGGTAACAGCAGAGCCACTAACAGTACAAACTGAACAGTACTGGAAGAATATATGAGAGAAAGAGAAGACACAGTGCAAAATGGCTGCAGGTTCTGAGATCAGACCAGAGCAATCTCCCAGAAAAGGAACCGTCACAGTAGCAGGCATTCAACAGTAGGTCAAGAACATGAAGAACATGTTCCATACCTACTGGCTACTAGCAGCCGGTTCCCACCCAGACTAGCTGACCCAGTTCTGATCAGGAAAGAACCCCACAAGGAAACAACATTGTTTAATTACCAGCCAATAACCTTTCTCCCCACAATATGGAAAGTCTTAACACGCATCATAGCCACCAAACTACACTACCCATAGGAATGAGAAATGTATATGTATGCTACTTGTTCCCTCTTTAAATTGGTCATAATGGCCTCAATCCATGAAGACAGATCCAAGACACCAGCAGCATCAATTACAGTACCTGTTATTTTCCCCAACCTTGAAGAGGTAATGATAATAATTTAGGGCTCTTTTTTTTAAATGCAAAGAAAAGAATAGCTTATACAGTACGAATCCCCTTTTTATGCTATGCTTTGCATTTTGACATGTCCTTGTATGAATGTCTAATATAATTCCATGCATTTTTACATGGAAGATTTCTGGGCCAATCAAATTGTTACATATTTCTTTCAGGGTTAAGTGGTAGCAAGCAGAGAATTCTGACAGCTGTATATTAAATGCAGGTGGCTCTGTGAAAGCCATTCCCATCTGATACACTACATTAACCATATCCTGCAATTCTTCCAGAATAGTGCTGCAATGAATTAGACGTTTTAATAAAATCTTACTTAGCTGGATAAGCTAAGGCCCACTTTGAATTTAGGTTCTCCTAATGTAGCTATCCAGTTTTTTTTTTTTTTATGTGTTGCATTAAGTGTTTGCTAAGAAAATAAATATGCTAGGATAATCTAGCAAAGAGTTAGAAAAAATGAACTCCCTCCCCACCACACATTACTTTATCATATTACGCACCGTTACATATTTCATTTAGCATGAATTGATAGCTTCATCCCTGCTCCAGATCTAAATTAAAGACTTATGGGTTTAGTTGATCTTGCTGAACAATTTACATTTCATTATGCTTCTTTTGAACTGCCAAAATGAAATCTGTGATGTATCAGCTACTAAAGAGTAATGAAAGATTTTTTTTTCCTCCCTTAGTTGCTTGCCTTTAAAGCTACAGGAAGTAAAAATATGGAACAAAAAAAAAATGTCCTGGAAAAAGATTCTCAGTAAGAAAGAACAACTTAAATATTTAACATTGTTAAGGAACAACTCAAAGCAAAGTTAATAGCACATGGTTGTGTACATTTGCATATATTTGAGGCTAGAATATTCTAACTATTTAAAGCCACAGTGTAGATCTATGAAGGAGAATTATGAAAAGAACCATAATAGCACCTCTTGGATGGTGGGTAATTATAATGCGCCTTGAAGCTAGAGACTGTCCCTAAAAGCAAATTAAGATATTCTAAAATTGTGTCCTTTGGAATATATAGAAATACTTACTTAGAATGGAATGCTTTTGTGTACGTATTTGGACTATGTGAAAAGAGCCTTGAGAAACTGCCTTTGGTCCAGAGTATATCAACTAGGAAGACTAATGAACGTTCATTTACAAATTCATTTCATCCTGCCCTGCACTGACTACATTGATTACCACTTTGTTTCCAGGCACAGCTGAAATCATAGCTTAGGTATGGCAATGAGAATACCTGTCCCCTCCAGCCTATTCCCATCCAAATATCTGATA